GCCATTTACTCTGACATCTTCCAAGAGGACTTGCCAACAAGTGATCCATGAAAACTCAGCCCATGAGACAAGACATAGTTTTACTGACAGGAAGCTGACACTGTTGACATGGCATGTGCACAATGCAAAACAGCAGGAGTACAAGGTTCTGTGAAAACTCAAATCGGATACTACTTTCTTTCCAGTTCTGGAAGACTTGGAAATGAAGTGATAATAAGAGAATAGAAAAAGGAACCCTCTTTTATTTTCCTTTTGCCAGGAAATTATTTATTCATAAAACTAAATTAGCATAGCTGACACTCTTCTCAGATTTATTCTATGAAATGAAAATAATGTTAAATTTCCCAGAGAAGCCTTAACTTTCCATTTTTTACGTGGCTGCAGTAAAATAAATCTTTCCTGTCATGGACCAAGAAGCTGTAAGCAGCAGAACATGGTGTCTGGTGAACTGAATATTTGCATGACCAGTCTCTCTCTCAGCCATGTGGCCTGATTAAGCTGAGAGACTCTGAACGGGAATAGAGTATTGTACGGGGAGATGCTCTCTCGTATGTCCGACGTGTGAGCTGTGGAGTGAGGCCTCTAAGGGAATGTTCAAAGGAAAGGAATTGCACAGCACATTCACGGAGGGATGTTGTATCGAATAATAGTCTGCGAAAGATAATTGTACTCAATTTTGAAATTGTAACATATTGGGTCATAACATTGATTATTTTCCAATCTTTAAAGAGTGTTTAATATATAACTCCTAAAATAATAAAAGGGGAGGAGGAGGAAGAAGAACACAATAGAACAAACCCTGGGTCATGGACTGAGCAGGCACGTTTTTGTCTCCTCTGCCTAGCCTCTTCCATTTCCTCCCTGACTAACTCACCATCTCTGTTAATTGTCACATGCCTCCTTTCTCTTCACTCCAGGTTTCATGGTAGAGAATCGAGACTACTGCCTAGGGAGGAATGCGTGTAGTGATTCAAAACCCAAGCTCTGGATTCAGAGTTCTGGGCTCAAATTCTGGTCCTAGCTGTGTCCTTTTAGGCAAAGTACCTGACTTTCCTGAGCTTCAGTTTCCTAATCTGTAAAGTAAGGAGACGGCAGTCCACCTGAACAGGTACACGTGGGCGTGCATGTACACCTCTCGCTGGGCTTTGTACGGCTGAGTGATATAAGGATGCAAAGGGCTTAGCATAGTAGGTGCTCAATAGAAACAAGCCGCCAGTGTTTAAATATATGTATTATTATTTCTGCCGGGAAACATAATAAACAGCTTGACTTCTTCCATCTTTCAATTATGACATGTGTACTTACTGAGGAAAAGACAGACAAAACACTATCTTAGAGTATGATGAAATAATGCCAACTATCTGGCTAAAAACTGCAAATTCAGATATTTTCAAACATCTTGTAGACCAAGTACCAGCATTTCACATCTTTTCTTGTTCCTTTCGTGTGTGTGTGTGTGTGTGTGTGCGTGTGTGTAGGAAGCCAACAGACTGTCACCCAGAGTCCCTTCCCCAGTGAGTGTGTGTACACCATGGGGCCGAACACGTGTTCCTTGCAAGCCCCGTTATCCATCTAGAGTGGTCAGCCCTATTAGCTCTGTTTTGCACTTCAGGAAACTAGATCTCAAGGGCGTAACGTAATTGACCTAAGTTCAGAGGGCCAGCTATGGAGCCACACCAGGCCTGCTTCCTTCAGAGCTGAGGTCCTTGCTGACAGTGACAGAGTTTATGAATCCAGGACTGATGGCCTGCGGGGAAGACTATTGATAAACTCACCGAGGGAGACTCGGCCCTGTCAATACAATGATTTTTACATCCAAACTCACTCTTATTACTGGCACTGTGTAAGAGTATTTTTAGGAGTTACAATTTTTACTCACATGCAAAATGCATAATTATACAAAATATACACATACGTAATTATACACGATGTGAGATAAAGATCTTTTGTACACTAATAAGTGTTTATTCTTCCTAACACACCTATGAGCAGAACCATGCTGGTGAAGCTGGTGATTACAAGGGATATGCTTGTGAGTAACAGTCCCTGTCATACACTCCCTGGCTTAGTAACCCTATTAAAAATGGAGACAGAGGAGCCCATCAGAAAAACCTTTGTGGCAACGAAAGTATCACCATGTTTAACATGGTTCTTGAGGGAAAAACGTTTCCTGCTGCAAGGACGTAAAAGGTGGGCAGCGAGACCCATCAGGCAGCCGATCCCGCATGTCGGACTCCCCATACGCTTGGGGCTGACGCCCCACCTGGTACTATCACAAGCTTCCTTCACAGGTGTGATGACGGACTGCACTCTTCCCGTCATCAGCCGACACACATCTGGATGATGGACAGCTGTTAGATTGGGGACATTTTTATTTTCCAAGGACCACGTCTTCCTCTTGCTCCAGAAACCCATGAGGCTGCTTAAAACTCACACACTTATTGCTAATAAAGGGAAACCCCTACCCACACCGAGGTCGCGCCTTGGAGGGTACAGGGTGTAATGATACATGTTTCATCCACATCAAACCTCTTTAATCCCCAAAGGATGAATTTTCTGTCTCTATTCCAGTGCATCTGGCTCCACTGAATGAATGGATTTATGCTTTAAAAATAAGCTTCATTATCCACTAATCATATTTCAGAAAAAAAAAATTTAAATGGAAGAAACATGAACAAATAACTCTAACCCTAACTTAAATGTTTTCATTGTTGGATACTGTTTTATCCTCGACTTATTAACAACTCTCTCGTGATTCTTTATTTTAACAATTTCATGCAAGACAAAACAAAACAAATATATTTCACAATTAATAGGTATTTTTCAAAACTGGGTGAATACTCTCTTTCTCAATGCTTTTGTTGCTTCTTTATAGCCTTGCAAATAGAGAGTTCATTTAATTTTTGCAATAAATATGTTCTTCCAAAATAAAAGGAGATTGATTTATCAGAAAAGAGGATGGGCTGCTATAGATTATAATCAATGACAATAAAAGGATGGCGCCTTCCAGAACAGAATTAACTGAATCACTTCAAATTTCAGTAGCATCATTGCTTTGGCACTCAAAGGTATTCTTTTGCTTTTGAGAGTTTAATTTAAAATGTAATGCCCTTGGAGACAAATTTTAAAGCTATGTCAGTCAACATATTATTATCATTTGAGACCATCAGTGGGCAGCTGTTAGAGGTGCATTGAAATGCACTTCATATCCAATAAAAAATGAGCTTGGCTATGAAAACATTCTTCAAGTGCTGCTTGCATGCTTGTGACCTCCTGGACTCAGAACCTTGCTTTTAATTGTCAGAGAGGGATCACCTTGACGGAAAGGATCTAGACTGGGATTGTAAGGTGTTCTTAAATTCGAGATTGTATGATCATGATACATGATTCGTTGAGAACTATTAAACTCACATTATAAAATAAAATCTAAACCCCTTAGTATCACTCAGGATCCCAGCAGGAAAGAGGTGTCATGTTCAAAGGAGTAATTAACCTTCCATCAGGTGCAACTGATCTCACAGATTCATTGCACACAAAGACGCCACTATAAAATACGTCTTTACTGTACTAAGTCACAAACACGACTGGTGATAGGTTATGGTAGAGGGGGAAGATACGCAAGCGATGAGTCACGATACTTAACTGTTAGATATTTGAAAATTTGTGTGCAATGAATCTGTAAGATCAGTTGTGCCGACGGAGGGTTAAAGATAACCAGGGACTCAGGGCAGGCTTAGCGAGCCAATCAGAAGGATGCTGCCAGGATTCAGGGCAGAAGCCATGAGTACCCTGAGGCCTGAAGCTGCAGGGAGAAGGCGTGTGGTATTGGAACGTGACAGAAGTTAAGGCCCGCTAGCAGGGCAGACAGGCAGAACCGTGACTGTCTAGGTGAAGGAGCACAGCCATTGCCAGACCATGGTCCAGCAGGTCCAGCAGGGAGAACATCTGCCTGACCTCACGGTCCCCTCACTCTCTGGTCTTTTCCGGTTGACCAAACCCCGCCAGGAGCCAGTGTGCACGGGAGCGGCCAGCGCAGCCTCCAAGGCGGGTTCCCATGCTGGCTCCTGTGCCTGCCTGCACAGAGCAGAGCCGGGGAGGGCAGAGAGAGGGAGAGCCCGACATTTACCCTCGCATGATTCAGCCGGACACAAACCCCCAGGTGCTCCTCACTCAGGAGGCCGTGGGAGTTCTGGCATGCCTCCACTTCCCCGTGTTTCCCTTCTCCCAGGGTCTGAAGGTTCTCTCCAGGTTATTTCCTTCTTGTTCTATCTCATTCTGTGCTGGAATAGGAGGCATCCTTCGAGCAGGGCTGTTTGTGTTTCTTGCAAGATGATCTTTTTCTTTTTTGCTAAAGTCTACTTAGTACCAAGTCTTGACTAGCTGATTTTAAACAAGGATTTCTGCCTGTGACATAATTTTTGATACCCTGGCTGCCTAATGTCCCCATGATGCTGAGATCACTTTCTTGAGTTCACTTAGCTGTACAGCTTTCTCCCTAAACAGACCTCCCACCCTACATCTCCCACATGCAGGCTCCGCCCACCTTAGCAGCGGGGAGGGCCTTTAAAATGGAATATGAGAAGTCATTTTGTGATTGGGGTCAAGCTTCACAATGTGACATAATTGTTTTTAATGCACATCCAATTTCAGCACACTACTTCCCACATTCTTCTCTATTCTTTGTAGCTTATATTCTCTTTCCTCTACCACAGAAATCCTCTCTTGTTCCCTTACGATGCTGTGAATTCAGTGTTGACATCATGGTACATAATAGATGGTGTGTGTGTGTGTGTGTGTGTGTGTGTGTGTGTGGTGGGGGGAGTGGGGGTTGAAAAGTGTTTAAGACGGTCTTCTAGGTTAACCTGTGAATATAAAATCAGGGTTGACTTTACAGTCTGCAGATCGATTTACCTCACCCAAGTTCAAGTTTCTTGGAGACGGTGGCACGGCTTTTACGGGTCATACGATTCTAACTGTTGCCTCCTTTTCCCTCTACTCAGATCCGAAGCCAGAGCAAAGCCTCGGGATCTGGGCTCTGTGAGGGCGATGAAGTGGTTTCCATCAACGGCAACCTGTGTGCGGACCTCACGTACCCGCAGGTGATTGAGCTCATGGAGAGCGTGACGGACTCTCTGCAAATGCTCATCAAACGGTACAAAACTATACGTAGTTTCTCCTGGAGCAAGATGGGACTGCTTAGAGCTTCTGTTACATCTAATTTGTCATTTCTGGGGAATTGGGGTGCTCCGTAGAAGGGCGGGATAGCTATACAGGAACAGTAGTGCTGGGAAAGTGGCAATTCTAACCCACTGAATTTTCTGGTTGAGAATTAACTTGAAAGTCTTTGTTTTAAGGACTGTGTTGAGAATCGTAGTTTGGTATTTAAAAGTAGCATCTTAGACAGCTCAGGGTATTGAACATAATTTAATCCAAGGTCAAGATTTTGTGGTGGGTCAGGATCACTAAATTATAATTCACAGATTCACAAATTAAAAGCTTTTAAATGTTAAACCATTACACTGTATAAGAATTTTTTTATAGAACAAAAATGCCTAGGAGAAGGAAAAGAATAAGTACAACAAAAAAAACCTTAAACAAAAAAAACCTTAAAAGCAGCCAGATTTTTGCTTGCCGGGACCTCCAGTAAAACCAGTATTCAGGTATGGGCAAAAGCTTGTGGTTAGAATCAAGTTTTTGGCCTGCCGGTGCAAGTCACTGGTTAATTGGATATCTCCAAATCCACCCTCCCCGCTAAATTGCTTAAAAATGCAGAATTAAACTTTAAACATAGAAACAAAAAACAACAAGGACAATCACAAAACACTGTAGCATCAGCATTTCTACTGTGTGCAAATCACAGTCCATCCTGACTCTGAAGTGAGATGCTGACCATCGCATGGCAATGAAGCCAGAAAGGGAAGCTCTGGGCTCCGGGGAGCAGCCTCCTGGGTGATGTCCCAGGACCCCTCACAGAGTCTCAAAGCCTCCAGGTTTTGCCCTAACTTTGCAGAAACACCGTGTACAACATTACCTCTCTGATATTCACTCAGTAGGATTCCATTTCTATGCAAACATGAGCTCACTATGGCCAAAATCTCATGAAAATAAAAGAAATCTAGCCTTATCCCTAGAATCTCCCATCTAAACATTTACCCATCAAGCCCTCTGGATCCTGCTTATGTATTAAGCTGCCAATTGCTTTTAAAAGGAACCTAACAGGAATATTGCCAGGTGCAGTCACAGGGCTTGTCACGAGCGTGCATAAACCTCAGAGCAATTTGAACACTTCCATCTTTGTAAAGGTTTAATCACATCCAAAAAGGGGCATGAAGGATTTTTTAATTGATTCCCTTTTAGTGTCTCTGCTGAGTTAAGGAGGCCAGTTCCTTTAGAACACGCTGTGGTCTGGGACACCCCCCACTAGTCCTTGTTTTGACTACAATGGCTCTCATTGGGACAGTCTTTGGTGGTTTAAAGCGGAGTTTTAGGTTACATATTTACTTTTAGAAATAAGTGGACTAGTTGTCTGCTATTTTGAACAACTGGAATCATGGTTATTAATATTTTCTCTTAAGTATTTTGACTTTGACAAAATAAATAAATAATTGATGAGATTCAAAATGGAATCTCAAACTCAGCCCACAGGCAATCATCACCATCATCACCATCACCACCATCATCATCACCATCACCATCATCACCATCACTCTGGCTATCTAAACATTGTTTCCTGGAATTAAATACTTCTCTCACTCATATAACTGCCCTCTATCACTAGAGAAAAAATGGCTTACTTTTCCTGGACTATTGCCCAAAGAAAGCTGGATCAGACTATCTTAAGAAACTCCTTTATCATTAAGTCTCTATTATCTTGAATTTTATTAAAATGATATATTTTTTTAATTATATAATTGTGTATCAGGGAGGAAGACATTTTTGTCTACCCCTCTCAGTTCTTCTGGCTGCTCTGAAAATTAAATTGGTATGAAACAGATTAACAGGAGAGAAGAACCAAATTTAATTCTGTTTGTACGTACGGGGGCCCCAGGGCACATTAGGCAGTTGAGACTTATGTGCCACCTTGAGCTAAGAAGACCAGATAGTGGTTTGGGACTTCAAAGGAGAGGAGGGCCATTCTCATGGAGATGAAGGAATACATGCGGGTAAATAAGTGTTTGCTGGGCCAGCCATGCAGCAACAACAGGGCGGAAAGGACCCTGCGCCCCTCCAGGCTGCCCCACCACCCACAGCCCGTGCTCTTTGTAGGGATCTCTGGTGATAGCTGAGTTCTGGGAACAGGTCCTCTGTCTAAATTCTCTCAGGGTGTAAGGGGGAAAGTCAAAGTTTCTTCCTGAGTCTTTTGCTTCTTAAAAATAAGATAATCCTCATGCCAGAGAGACATATTTTGGGGTGTCATATTTAGCTTCCCTCCACAGGACACATAAATTGTGGGACTGAGCACCTGTGTAGACTGAATGGAAATGAGCATTCTAAGGTCTAAAGCTTTATTTAACCCCTGGCATTTTCATGATTTTTATCGATGTGCATCCATTTTACTTCGGCTACAGTAAATGTTAACATTTATCTGACCCATTTGCCTGTATTGCAGTCTGTAAGGCTGGAATGAATTCAGACAACTCTCATCTCTGTTTCATAACTGGCTGCTAACACAATTCAAAGCGATTTAATCTACTCCCCTCCTGAGCCCTTCTTACATTAAAACCCTCTGACCTTTTGGTACCCTCCAATTCCGTCGCATTAAGTGTGTTCATCATTTCCTACATAAGAAAGATCTAATTTGCTGTCATCATGTTTTTAAAATACTATATTATACTGTTGTTTTTTCTTTAATCACTTGGAAGTTTTACAGATTACTTAGAGAAAGCTGCATTTCATTTGTTTGTTTAGTCTTGTTTTGCTAAATTCAGTCAAAAGCAAACTTAGGAGTAATTATTTTGAACATTAGTCTGAAATTCTATGACCACGTAACTTCTAAGGTAAACGCCCTTGAGAACAGGAGGAGGGGCTCACTCCCTTCAACTGAGGACCCTGCATTCGTCAGGGTGCATTTTGAGGGAGGATGGAAGAGGCAGAGAGACACTGCTGCTGCTAAAAAAAAAAAAAGACAAAAAACTTACAAATGTAAAAAACGAAGGCATCTCCTACAGCTGTTCTGCTAATGACGCTTGTCCCCTAAAAGCAGTTAGAGTTTAAATTAGAGTTTTAGCAAGAAGTCATTTAACCCTTAAACTGACATTGCTTCTTGCATCCCCAAACGAGCAAAACCAACTGGGAGGGTTAAGGTCAAAATCAAAGGACTGGGTGCAGAGACCTTAGCTGAGAGATAGAGGAACAGCTTGACTTAGAGATCCTGTAAGGAAAAGGCTCCAAGGGACAGGTTCAAACAGAAGAGGGGGAGACATCTCAGATTAATAATACTCCATGACTCAATGATTCATTGTGGCACAGAAAGGATTTCTCTTTACACAAGAGTCCTGGGCTGGGGTCCACTTATTACAAAACACATGCTCACTGGAGCTTAGAAAACAGCTTGTATTTCATTCCTTTCAAGAAAGCACAGCCTCGAAAACAGTCACTTGAATTATCTGTATATTAATCTTACTGTGGAGCTGCTGAGCATGTTTATGTGACTTCATAATGTCCAGACCTAGACTCAGTCAGTAGGACATTGAAACGCTTTGTCGTATTGAAACAAACATAGTTTTTGGAAAACAGCCAAATGATTATAGATAAAGGGTATCCATGTAGCTATAACCTGTGCTTTTAAAAAATAAAAGCTGAACTTATGAGAGATTTAGGTTTCATAATCATTTGTAAGCATTTTTACTTTAAAGAAATAATATTAGGAAGATCTTTAAATAATTATATAAACATGTTGCCAATTTTTGTTTTCAAATATGCTGCAGCTGACATTTAGGAGGAAACACTGTGACTGTATCATGTATTAGACATCATAAAAATGTCAGGAAGTTCTTTGGCAGGTGTGAGGCACTCTGATTTAACTGTCTGGAATGATTTTTCTGTGTGCAGACCTTCCAGTGGAATAAATGAGACTTTGATCTCTGAAACTGAAATAAAAAACCATGAGCATCTCCCCTACGAGGGGAGCGTGGAAAGCACGACCCTGCAGATCCGACCAGCCACAAAGTGCCAGTACAGAGAGCCCTGCACCACCCCAGCCAAGAGTGGAGCTCCCCTCGCTGAGGACCAAGGAAGGGGTCCTGGCTTTTCTGGGAGCAAAAACGAAGAAACAGTCCTGAGCTACCAGGCGGCCCCCCACATGCCTGAGGCCCCAAGAGGACACGTGACAGAGGAGGTGATCTTACGGGAGAAAGTGGCCATGGGGCGGCCAGGCCCTGTGGTTGAGCTACAACTGTCCCTTTCCCAGGAGGGACCCAAGGGCACTAGTGCCCCTGTCGTGGCTCTCTTGGGAGCTGAAAAATCTAAGTCTCCTGACCCAGATCCTAACTTACACCACGGCAGGGTTGTCCACATAAACTCAGTTCCCACTAATGAGAAAGGGGACCCCTCTCTGCGGTCCAGCAAGATAATCCAGATCTCCAGTGGCCAAGAGCTGAGAGTGATCCAAGCCCGGGAGGCAGGGGACGCAGGGCTGCCCCGAGTGGAAGTGGTCCTGGACTGCTCTGACAGGCAGAAGACGGAAGGGTGCAGGCTTCAGGCAGGAAACGGGGGTGTGGATGCTCCCGGGGAAGGAGGGCAGTCAGAAGCACCTCCTTCTCTGGTCTCCTTTGCCGTCTCATCAGAAGGCACGGAGCAGGGAGAAGAGCCGCGCTCGGAAAGGGATCACAGCAGACCACACAAGCACAGAGCGCGCCACGCACGTGAGTCCTGCGGGGGCCGGCGGGGGGCTGCTCTGCCTGCACGGGCTTTGCTGCTTTTTTCATTTTTAAAGGTTTTCCTGATGTCTTTCATTGGCTTTTTAAAAATTATTAATGCACAGAAAAACATAGGCTTGTGGAGAATACCCATGGCTGAGTTGGAAGCAATACGTGTGAACTCTGTAGCAGAATTAAATGTTTTTAGTGCACTTTCTTGTATCCGCAAAAGAAAATAATACTGTTCATGTGGCCTTTTGCCTCAGAGCGTTCTAATGATATTTCATATTAAAACAACATATGAGAGCATTTGAAGTGATGTGGACTCTGAGTTTAAATGTCAAAAACTGTTGAGTCTGCTGCTTACAGGAGTCTGTAAAATACAGGCTCCACCACTGACATTAAAAGCAGACCCTGACTTTGAAAAAAACCATTGTGCAGCTTGATGATGCTTGCAGAAGTGGCTTGACGGACAAGGACATGTGGAAAAGCGAGCAGTTACATGATCCGCTCCGTTCTGTCAGTCCTCACTGGACTGCAGAGTGTCATCTACCTTCTAGACACAGCAGTCAGTCCCCGGGGCCCCGGGAGGCATTCAGATGGCCCCGAGCAGAAAGCCTGCTTACATTCAAGGCTTTTGACAGTGTTGGGTTGTGTTTTACCCAGAGGAGTGATGAGAGAAAGAAGAATGAGGATAAGAACGGCAGTTAGGTTTCAGAATTTTTGCTGTTTTCTTTCACTTTTGGAATTTCATGTGAGGAAGTAGAGGCTGACTGCCTGAGGCACTTGGATGTGTGAGTGATACACACATAACAGTCATGAACTTTTATTCAAAGGCACAGATGAAGTCCTCTCACCAGCAGTGATTCCCTTCGAAGCATATTTTTAGCATAACCATCTGTAGCTTTATTGGCAAGTGCTGTCGGTCATTCCATATACTTTACGCATCTGTAGGCTTCTTCACATTGATGGCATTTTAAACGGGTGTATCAAGGCGGGGTTCACATACTTCACATTGGCAATGAAGTCAGCAACAAGTGTGCAACTGTGACTGTCAGTTTAACAGTAAGTTGTGTAACGCTAGTGAAGAAAATTACATTTCTTGTAATGACCAAATTGTAAGAACATAACCACACTTTTTACTGTTTTCCTCTAAATAAAATTTGATTACCAGTAAATATCTGTGACTTTGTCATAAAACCATTGACTCTAATTCTATTTTGTTTTTTTAAAAATTAACCATTAAGTCTGATTTTTAGTACAAAGAGAGCCAATTTTCAATCATAAAAATATTCAAAAAATGTTCTGAAATTTCCAGTTGACTGTTTTGAGGAGCCCAAACTTATTTGTGAATCATCTCATTATCACTGAATACATAATTATGATTGCTGCTATAAATTAATTTGCCATCAATTGATTTTTATAACAATAATAAAAATTTAAATTTATTTTTGGTCTTTTAAAACTGTCAAACCTCATTTTAAATGACTTAATTTCTGCATATGCTTTTACCCACAGCTTTAAGGGTCACTAATCATATAATTTTTAAATTTCCTCAAGATTTACACTTATTCTTGATGCAACCAAAGTAGTCGTAGTGCATTTCCAAAACAGCAACACATTACAGATTTACCTAGAGAACTTTGTAGCTATAGTTTCTTTCATTCACAATGATCTAGCATTCTGAATTATTATTTTCAGCACTTTCAATTATTATTCACTTCATTTTTGAATTTATATTAATTCAGTCTCTGTGAATGCAAAGACTTTGGGGCGGGGCGGTCAAAGTAAAAATAAAGATGAAGAAGAAAACTTAAATATTTAAAGGCATTACATTAACACATTAAGCTAAATAACATGTTCTTGCTCCCACCCTCTACACACAGTTTTTTTAAAAGCTTGGAAATAATTATATATTGACATTTTACTTTTTAATTATGGAAGTATAAGATAAGACTTAATATTTTTTTTCTGACAATGTTATGTCCTTAAATCGCCTCCCTTTTAGTTTTGATTACATCCTATTAACAGAGATTTACTAGCCAGTGTATATTGTTAAACCATAAGGACCCGTACGGAAACATGAAACGTACATTCTGATCAGCACACCTAAGAACGGATTGGCATGAGCAAATGAGACCGCTCTCTTTAGTCACACGCACCACTGCGTGTCACTGCACAAGTACGTGTTTCAAAGGCAATGAAAGGGGGGGCGGGGGGAGGCCTCAGCCTTCGGGCCCCAGCTGTACACACGGTTTTTCCATTGGCCCCCCGGGAGCGGGTTTCCGAGTTGCTGTGCAGCCTGCCCTGAACTCATCATCTCGCTGTGACTCTGTCCTCTCCCCAGGGCTCCGGAGGAGTGAAAGCCTCTCTGAGAAGCAGGTGAAAGAGGCGAAGTCCAAATGCAAGAGCATCGCCCTGCTCCTGACCGACGCCCCCAACCCCCACTCCAAGGGGGTGCTGATGTTTAAGAAGAGGCGGCGGCGGGCCAGGAAGTTCACGCTCATCAGCTACGGGACGGGCCAGCTCGGGCGGCAGGAGGACCCGGAGGACCTGGACGACGGCGACGGGGACGACGCCTTCGAGGTAGCTCTGCTGGGCGCCAGCGAGTCGGACGCGGACGAGGGGCTGTTGTCCGACCCGGACGACAACGCACCAGTGGTGAACTTCGACTGGGACTCGGGACTGGTGGACATTGAGAAGAAGGCGCGCCGCGGGGACAGGATGGACATGCTGCCGGACACCACAGGCAAGGGGGCGCTCATGTTCGCCAGGAGGAGGGAGAGGATGGACCAGATCAGCGCCCAGGAGGAGGGCCGGGCGGGCGCAGGGCACACGGACGGCCCGGCCCCGGCCCCGGCCCCGGCCCCGGCCCACCGCAGGGCGGAGCAGGCGTCGGTGGCCGCGCACAGCCACAGCGCCGTGAGCAGGAGCTACATCGAGGTGAGCCGGGGGCCCGGCCTCGCGCCCCAGCAGAACGGCCTCGGCACAGCGCCCGAGCCGGCGGAGGCCCACCGCACGGTGCCCGTGAACAGGACGGCCAGGCCCTTCCCGGGGCCTGGGCACCAGCCTGCGGCCCTCTTCTCCCCGCCCCGGAGCGTGGCGAGCCCCGTGGCCGACTTTCCCGCGCCTCCGCCCTACTCTGCGGTCACACCGCCCCCCGAAGCCTTGGCCAGGGCGGCGTCGAGCCCGGGGGCCGGCCCCGCACAGCCGCCGCCGTGGCCCCAGCCCGCCCCGTGGTCCCAGCCGGCCTTTTACGATGCGTCGGAGCGCATCGCCTCCCGGGATGAGCGGATCGCGGTGCCGGCCAAAAGAACAGGCATACTGCAGGAGGCCAAGCGGAGGAGCACGACGAAGCCCATGTTCACGTTCAAGGAGCCCAAAGTGAGCCCGAATCCCGAACTCCTGTCGCTTCTCCAAAACGCGGAGGGCAAACGGGGCACCGGAGCTGGAGGTGACTCGGGCCCCGAGGAAGACTACCTCAGCTTAGGGGCAGAGGCCTGTAATTTCATGCAGAGCCCCTCTGCCAAACAAAAGACACCCCCTCCCGTCGCTCCCAAACCTGCAGCGAAGTCCTCACCCTCCCAGCCGGCCACCCCAGCCTCGCCAGTCTGTTCCCCCGGGGCGGCTCCGGCGCAGCCCCCTGCCTTCCCCACGTCCGGCCCGTCGCAGGGCGCCGTGGTCTCGTCCGTCAAAACGGCCCAGCCTTCTTACCCTGCCGCGCGGCCCGCGAGTGCCCTCAACGTGGCTGGTCCCTTCAGAGGACCCCAGGCAGCAGTTGCCAGTCTGAACTCCACAGCCAAGCCCGTGGCTGCCGCACCCGCTGCGGCGGGGCCGCCCCCAGAGCTCCCCGAGATGCGCGGGAAAGGTGCCCAGCTCTTTGCCAAGAGGCAGTCCCGGATGGAGAAGTACGTGGTGGACTCGGACACGGTGCAGGCCCACGCCGCTCGCGCGCAGTCCCCCACGCCGTCGCTGCCGGCCACGTGGAAGTACTCCCCCAACGTCCGCGCGCCGCCTCCCGTGGCCTACAACCCGATCCACTCCCCCTCCTACCCGCTGGCCGCCGTCAAGTCCCAGCCGGGAGCGCCACAGGCCTCCAAGACCAGCAAGAAAAAGGGCAAGAAGCCTCTCAACGCTCTGGATGTCATGAAGCACCAGCCCTACCAGCTGAACGCGTCCTTGTTCACTTTCCAGCCTCCAGACGCAAAGGCTGGCCTCCCCCAGAAGGCGCCCGCCAAGCTCAGCTCGGTACCGGCCATGAAGCAAGCTCTCCCTCCCCGGGCGGTGAACGCCGGCTCGCCCACTGGCGTGCGGGCCTCGTCCGTGTACTCGGTGCCGGCCTACAGCGCTCAGCCCGCCTTCTTCGCGGAGGCCACCTCGCCGGTCAGCGCAAGCCCCGTGCCCGGCGGCGTCCCCAGCTCGCCAAAGCAGGAGTCAGCCTCGGCACCTTATTTTGTGGCACCAAGGCCGAAGTTCTCAGCCAAGAAGAGTGGTGTCACAGTTCAGGTGTGGAAGCCATCGATAGCGGAGGAGTAATCTTGTAGCGGAAGCCGGGTGTCCACTTTGCTTGAAACCAATTGTTTGCAGTGTTACTTGAGTCCCCGAGAATGCCTAGCAAGTCTTCCACTCATTTCAGATGTCACCTCCCAGTGTGGGTCCAAGGAGCATAATATTCTTAAGGAGCCAAAAGCTAACGCGATTGGTTTAAACCGCATGTATCTTTGCACACTTAAAAACTCCGGGGGCACCGCAGGTAGACATGTGCCATTGTATTAGGTAAGCAGGATGCTTAGGGCTTATGCGTTAGCCACGAGAGAGAGTGATCGGCGTTATCAGACATCAGGACACAGCCCTTCTTAACAGACAGCTGTGCTCCTGTGGTGAATGGCTCGAAGTGTGAAAATACAACGCCTTTGACTGAGATTTCCCTTTTAAGTAGCACCTTATCTCTTACTCCTGTTGAGAGATGAGAAATGGATAGAGGACAGGGATCGGCTCTGGTCTGTCAACCTCAGCCAGCCGTGTGACGTGTAGGGAAGGCACGCGGGCATTGCTGGCATGTACAGGTTAGCAAGGGGGTGAGAGAGGTTACTGGGGGTTTCCGAGCACTTATGATGTACCCAGTTCCTTGCCAGATGGCTGACAAATAAGAGCTCATTTCAGAAGACTTACAGTCAACGGGCCGGGCGAGGAGAGCGCCCCCTAGAGAGAGGCGCCCACGGCCCCCCGCCCCGTGACTCGAGAGGCTGAGTGAGTACCTCCGCTGCCCGTGAAGGCGCACGTTTTCCCGGCTGAGGCAGGTGGTGGTACAGAGCGAGGGAGCAGCGTGTGAAGGTGGGGGGCTGCAGGTGGAGGCCCATGCCGCTGTGGTCTCCCTCGGGGGACCCCCCCGATCCTTCTGAGCGCGACGGGTTGCGGACCCCAGGGGCGGATGGAAGCACGAGGGAGGCAGCGGGAGTGTGGAAACCGAGGGGGAGAGCACGGCTCTCAGCATCAGTTCTGAGGGACGCTCAGATTTGTTTTTCTTGCGTTTGTTTTGCCTTTGGACAACTGCTTCTCCCGCTGTTCCTTGCAATGCTGTGCTCGCACCTTCGCGTTATTATTTATGTTTGATGGACCAGAAGGATTCAGGCAAGGTTACCTTGTAAGTGTGGGCGGGTCACACAGCAGGCCGTCACCCAGCTGGCTCTGAAGTTAGTGTTGCTGAGAGTAAACCTGAAGACTGTTCTCATAGCTATTTTAAGTCCGAGTCTGACCAACCATGGAAAATATTCAACATGAGTTAATGTAGAACCACGAAGCATTTTTGACAGCTCAAGATGACATACAGCCCCGCATCACGGGAAAACCATCTCCATACAGGAGATGTGTGCGTGTAGAGACCGCTCATAAAAACTTGCCTGGTTTCAGGGTACGTGGTACCACTGCAGTCCTCTGAAAATACCTGTATTCCTGTTCCTTTTCTGCTGTCACTGTCAACCTGCTATATTTTTCACTATCCTATTAAAATGTCACTTTCTTCTTTATCTGTTCAATGTAGTTTTTAAATCTTCCCTCTGCGAGCTGCTCTGACCTGTCCTTCCTCTGATAATGCTGCTACACGGCTCCCGGAACATCTGCGTTTCCTCCTTGTCAGCGTACCCGCTTTTCCGTATGTTGTAAAACTACAAGCCCACGTCCCTGTCAGACATAACACACAGGAGAATGAAGTCAGCCACCCAGCAGCAGGACTGAGCCCTCTCCGTTTTCTCTGGAAAACCTTTCATTTGGTGGCAGTTTACCTAGAGGTCAGAAGCACAGGATGTAGCTCAATCTCTTATCTGCCTTTTTGGGAAATCAATTAGGAGGATTAACACAGGAGAAAGAAAGAAGCCCTCTCTTAATAGATAACATGACGTTTGTGTGACTCGTTCCACACACAGGAAGTCTGTTGAATGCTATGTATTTTGCATTCTTTTCTAACAGAACCACCAAAAAAGGTGACGCAGGAAAGTAGACCATTTTTATAGCTTTGCATTCTTCACATAGCATTCAGAGAACGGCATGAATTAGAGGAAAGATTACGAACGCGAGGCAGTCAGTCTGACATCATCAGTTCAGAAGGCGCCTGGGGTGGTGATGACCCGGATGGACCCCTCGTTGTCCGGTGGTCTGTGATCTGTAGGCATGAGAAGTGTCTTTGGTCGTTTCCTAGTGGACAGGTATTGATCTTAGAAGAGCCACTTTTTGGGGTTGGTGACTAGATATGACTAATATGACTGGCACTGTCGTGGGGCTCCCAGGAAGCTTCTAAGGAACGTGCCAGGCATGCATCAAAGCGCCCTCAGTTTCAACTGAGACCTGGGAGTCATCTTGAATCACACAGTCCCACATCACGGAAAAGGGCCAGGAGTCCCCAAAACTCTGTCCACAACAGTCTGACCTCGCCCCGAGCGAGGGGTGGGCCGTGGGAGGCAGAAGGACCAGCCTGCTCCCGCGGTAAGAGAGATGCCCTGTACCTTTCCTCCCCAACCAGGGAGCCCCTGGGAACCTATGTGTGGAATGAGCTGCATGTGGCGCCTTTCAGGTGGGAGCTGTGGAAATGACATCAGCGTGGCAGGTGGGAGACGTAGGACGCGTGAGCTCGGCTCCCTCCCACGGGACACCCTTTGCAACCTGGGTGTGGTTGGCTTTGCTGTGGCGGCAGCTGTGGGCGTTGGCTGGTTATGGGGTTTGGGGAGGCAGCTTGTGTTTAGTTTTTAGCATCTTGCCTCTTCCCTCATCCTTTGTTAGCGGCTTTCCTGGGCAGAGCACCTATGAAGTAGGTTTCCATCGTCAACACAGTGGCAATGGTTATTAACTGAGCGCCTGGGTTATGCTAGGTGCTTGCATGCTCCGTCCGTAAGGAGTCTGCTGCGTGGCTCTCAGGCACTGGGCATAAAGCGTAATCCCAGGCTCTGACCCACTGCAGGGCCGTGTGCAGCTTCTTGCCCTTAACAATGTCTCAAACCTCGAGTTCGCATAACGCTGGATAGTCTCGTCTTGTTGGGGGCGAGGTGAATCACAGAACCAGTGAGATTAGGAGCCTGAGTGTTGCCACTGTGATCTCAGAGCATTTGCAATTTTATTCTAGTATTTCAATGGACACATTTTGTTTTGAGAGGGGAAAACACAGTTTGTGCACTTTGACTCTCCATTGACGGTATAAGCCACACGTATTTAGGACTATGTTTTATAACACACATTTGGGTTGTCAGCTAGAGCATGCAAACGTTTGTACTTTAAAATATATCTAGTATGATTGTTAATGATAACGTGTATCATTTAATCTTCACAAAAAGCAGCTCACTTTAGCGTAGGAAAGCAGATCCAAGTTACACATAGCTCTTTAGATAAGCAAGCCAGGGTCCTGTGCCAATTCTAGAGCGTGCAGACCCTTTCAGGAAGTGGGGTAGCTTCGGGGGACAGCTGAGGCTTCTCACGCAGCCTGAAGCCTAGCCTAGGAGCAGGCCACATCTGAGCTGTCAGAAGCCATGGTCATCGCTGAAGGGGGTGGGCGGGCACAGCTGGGACCACTGTGCTGTTTAGTTACTTGGTTACAGATGCCTGGAGGTCGCTCTGCCCCGACAGGCGTCTCGGACCTGACTCTGGCACTGTCACAGTGCAGCCTTTTAGGACACAAGGCACACGGCTGGTAGGTCTGATTTGGGACTCTTTCAGAGAAACCCTGTGCTATGGATCATTTCATCCAGTTATCAACCTGAGAACCTGACAGCAGCTGTGTTCTAAGGGGAAGTCCCTGAAACCCTCGGCTTTTTCTGAGTCACCACTGGCTGAGCAGGAAGGGTACGGAAGTGACAGTCATCAAAAAGAAGTGATTGTTTTCTGAAAAGCTAAATGCTTAAAATGCTTCCTGCGGGGGAGCCGGGGGATGTGTGCTTGCTCCCTCTTAAAATCAAAGTTGTTGAATTTGCTTTAAAATGTGTTAAAAGTTTATGAGAAAAATATGTAAATTCTTAGACCCAATATTATATTCCCAGAAACACTGACCTTCCCGGGTCCTGTGTCCCCTTGTCACTGGACTCTGGGGGACCCAGAGACTCACATAACGCTTCAGTGCTGCTGAGCTCATCAGCGAGTATTCTCGGAAGACAGCAGGACTGAATTCCTCTCCAGACTTCCCACCAGCGTTGGCTGAGGGCCGTCACACCGGCTAGAACGTCCCCACAGGACCCAGACTCCAGGCAAAACTGCTAAGAGCCAGTTCCTCCCTTTAGGATTTCACTTTTTAAAATAAAGCACAAAAATTACAGGCCATGCTATGGAGCATGAGGCCCCTAAAAACCAGTCTTCTGAAAGGGTCCCAAATCAGAACTGCTCATCCCCTGATGTTATCAGGCGCAGCCAGTTCAAGTTTTTTAAAAAATGAAAGTTTCCATGGCGTGTGCGTTTGTACACTAACTTACCATTAGTACTTGGAAATCACAGAACTTACTACTCAGAGAGGCAATTGAATGAAGAGAAACTGAACTTTAAAATTGAATATTAAATCCTGTCAGACATTTCTCAGACTCCTGACTTTATCAAATGGTTGGCTGGCTAATAACGCAAGTACAAAGAGAGAAAGGCTTCTACAGGGTCCTATAGTTTAAATAATTTCTGTTATTGATGCATAGAATTTCTTAAATTTTTATTTTTGGTTCCAAATATTTACCTCATTCTTGACATGCTTATCTAAATTATGTGTGCTTATGACTGTGAACTATACATTCAGGGTCCCGAATAAAAACTGTCCGAAGGACTGCCTTTGCAGCCCACCCTCCTGCCTCTCCCTGATGTTCATATTCACAATCGTGATAATGTTCAAATGCAGCACGGAGGCACCCTGCTTTCACAGCCCACTTCTCCCGCCCCTTGGCAACTATTAATGGTTTGTTCGTGAAAAACAAAACAAAACAAAACAAACAAAAACAAAACAAAGGATTTCAATGGGCCCTGACTTGTAAAGAAATGCACACTCTAGGAAA